TGTATAATTCACAAACCAATGATACGCTCATGGCTGCAAGTACATTAGTGAGGACTGCAACGATGAGATGGAAGTTACGGTAAAGTGACAAAGACAGAAATATCGTTGCGTACAGCGTTGCCACTAGTTGTAATAAATATCTAACACTATACAGAAAATAATGAATTTTAACTGATCAGTAATCAGGAAATGTATAAGTATTACTCATTACAAGCTCATTACTGATTTTTGTCATAAATAATACCTTTTAATCGTACTAGTATTGTGTATTATCTATAATTTGCCACAACCTACAACTCTACTGCTTACTATATTTTGATTCTGCTATAAACTGGTAACGTAAAATTTAGATATGACAACGCGCTTTACTCTCAATCATTATTGGTTTTACTATACCTCCTCTATACGCCCGATATGAAATATACGAAATATTAGTTCCAACTCACATATAAATGCTGAGATAGTGCGCGATTTTCATTCACTCAATATTCATGCGTCAACTGTAAAAATGCCGATTTGAAATAAGTAACTATCAATCTTTTGTCGACTTAAAACCATGTGATGTGGCAGTTTGACGATTTTACTATCTAAAAAAAAGTCGGAGGAGAGCACAGCTCTTGATTCTCCATGTTTCCCGATGGCGTTATTCCGAATGTGGGTGACATACGATAGAAGGTCGCCTGTTGATATTTGTTTCCGAAAGCCATATTGATGATCTCTCAAGATGTTGTAGCCTTCCAAATATTTGAGGATATGGTGATTTACGATTTTTTCATGATTTTTACTTTATATTAGCTTCACCTGTATGTATGTATGTAAAAACTTTTTAAACAATCTAATATTCACAATTTCGTCTACGTAATTCTTCACTGGTAATTCTGCACTAGAGCTCGAGTCAAAGCTCGGCTAAGCTCAATTCCAAAGATGCGCGCATGTTCAATAAGAAACCGCGCAAATATAATGTTACTATAGTCAATTATGTGAATTTTTTCAACAGAAACAAATGAGTTCTTCCATTTACCAGCTATCGCCCTCTTTCGATCGAAAACCTCCGAAAGCTGAAACTTGTGCGAGCTGGGAATTAACGAGGTCTTACCCTAGAACATGCAATTCTTAGCACAAACATCAACTATAAAATAACAATTAACACTCAACTATTCAACAATTTAAATTTCCAAAACATTTCTATCCCTTATCGGTACCGATGTTTCGTTTCATGTCTGACAGAGACTCTTTTTACCGAGTTTTGTGTTTCCAATGTTGGAGATGGCAGGAGTAGCCTACCATGAGAAGGTATAGCCCCCCTTCGAGATAGGGATTCGAAAACCCCCAATGAAATTGTTGTTTCATATCTAGCAAAGATGTTCAGAACCAATTTTATGTTTTTCACTTTCAAAATGAGGAATGTGTTACCGTTTATCGATCCCTTGGGGGTGAAATTTTGAAAAATCCAGTTGTAGATTTCCTTTTGTATATAACCAAGATGCAAAATACCAAATTTTATATTTGAGGATGACAGAAATGACGAATGTGTTGTAATTGGTTCGAGTACCGTTTTTACTTCATATTACGTGCTT